GGGGAAGGAGTGAATCGGCGATGTATTAGGCAAGAGGGAAGAGGGAAAGCGAGTGGAGTGAAGTGAAGTTCGAGGACTTGGTGCATAGTACAGTTTTACATTGACAGTGGTAGTGGAATTGTGTAGTTGGGAGGAGAGAGTGTTAGAAATATTGTTCAAATTGATAAAAATGGATGTGGAATGAAAAATGGGATTTGAGGCCAAAATATTGAACTATGCGACCACGTAATTCAATGTATCATGCGGTCGCACAGATACTTACCGGGACTAGAGGTCCCTTCTGTGAAATAACTATGCGGTCGCATAGGTTTGGCCTATGCGGTTGCATAGAACAATATTCTAGCCGTCATTTAGCCTTTGGCTTTTGAATTTTGGTGGCTTTTGAAGGGTTTTTAGCACCACTTTATATAGCAATGTTTCATGGCTATATATAGGTCGTTTGTGATCATTAAAAACATGTTGAAAACATTAAAAAAAGAAAAACCATAGACATATTCAAGAACAAAATCCTACAAAGAATAACTAGAAATTGCAATTTTCTTCATCATATTCAAATTCTTCTGTAGTGTTCTAATAGTTTTGGAGAATTACACTTAATTCTTAAATGTTAATTCTTTACAAAGCTTGTTTAAATCTTACAAACCATTTGCCTTAATCCCTACAATCATTATTTCAATCCGAGGGGGGGGGGAAGGGGCAAATATAGTTTGAGGACAGCCATATCGTATTCAAGCCATTAGTGTTTGTTTTCAAATCCATTCTTTTGGTTTAGTGTTTGGTTCGTCTCTTTTAATTGGTGTTGACATCGAAAATTGTATGTACAAAATTCAAACCAACTTCAAAGAGGAATATGACTTTGATTAATTATCGATGCGAAGTTACAAGTGATTCAACTATTCCTTTCTATGTTTATAGGAGATTTTTGAAATATGGATAAATAATGTAAGAAGATTTGTGATGCACCAAATCTGTCCCCCTTCTTTTCCACTATTTTCTCTTTTATAGGAGAAAATATACACGCTCCATCAATTTTCTGTCTTGTCACCTGCAATTCCGAGCTGAAGAAGTACACATGTTGGAATGATTCCATTGGCCTCCAAGCTCAATCGGCAGCCTGATGAGCAAATCTTACAGGTGTGCCTTAGCAATTAATGAAGTGAGCCTTGGAAAAGAGCCTAACTATTTGATCAAGCTTATGTAAGCACTAATGTAAGATCATTCACTGTGGATTCCTCTGATTGACTGGTTTGTTGATAGTGTCAGTGATCTACAATCATTAGAATCCCCTTGAAAGTCTACACAATCTTTCTAGATATGCTAAACATTCGAGCCGACCTCATGCTACCGAGCTCGCATTGCCACGTACTCATTTTTCCATATATTACAGGAGT